TTAGATTCGTTTCTTGCCGGGAAGTCCCGGCCGGAAAAACGGGATCCTCGATCAGGAAAGTGCCAGCAAATGGATCGCGTTGTTTCGCCGGTCCCGCAGACAATGCCGCGACGCGACAGAAGTCAGCGTCGCGATAATGAAAATGTGCCTTTTGCGGGAATAGACATCGCCGGGCAAGAAACACGACAAAGCCGTTGGCGGGAGCGCGTCGTTTGACGCGCGCCGGGTCCCGGCGAAGGCGAAAAACTTGAAGAAGGATCGATAAAAGCCCTCGGCCTGCACCGGCACCGTCACCGGCATTCCGGCTCGGTCCTGCCGCCGCTGCCAGGACATACGGAGGGTGCGAGAAGTTCACCGACATCGGTCGCGACCCTGACTGGCAACGCATAAAGCAACCCCTCCGGTAATGAAAGCGTTCGAGCGGACGACGAGCCTCTGTCGATGTCGAGGCACGCGACCCGATGCTCCGCCAGCCATTCTTTCGACGGATCGTGCCTCCTCTCTCGCCTCTACTTGAAAAGACAGACAGTGTACTTAACGTATTGCAGGTGGCAGCGAGTCGGATATTGTTGGCTTTGTGCGACGCCACTTCTTTGCGCGATGGATCCTCGTCTTTCGGTCCTCTCCGAGACTTTAACTGCGACTGCTTGCCTCGTTTCTACGTTTGATTGCTTGCTTTATGCAGTGCGCGAAAAGATTTTCGTCTACCATTCCGGGAAAGTTTATATTTATATATGTCTAGTGCAACGTCGCTCAAAAACCTTCTGTGCGCGCTTTTTCCTCAGCAATTACTGGACCGCGGATTTTTCGGAGAAATTAAAATTGCCTGCAGGAAAGAGAAAGTATACGAAACATTCTTTGTTCCTTTAATACTTTCAATGTCTCCAAAATAATGCATTTACATGTTTTAATTCTTTCGAGCTATCTATTATTTGGTCCACCAATCGGTCTAGCAATTGCAGTAATTTCTCCCGGAAATGCCAAATTTCGGGTTGCTGTAAATTTCCCTCCTATGTAATATACTGCTACGTCGTCGAAGTCGATCAAGCGTGTGATTTGGTACACTACGCGAATTTTGTATTTATATTAATTGATATTCATATTAACGTACACCGACATGCTGGCCGCTGCCTTTTTTTGCCGACCGCCCCGAGTCGTGACTTAGTATTCTCAGATCTGCCGGTTTCAATTCCGACCTTCGAACATTTCTGAGCGAAATTACTGTACTTGAGAAATGGCTGTGGAGTCGTGTAGTGAATTTCATATTTCACCGATAACGGGGGAACAGGTTTGCAAACTCTGACAGATCGACGTTAGATTACATATCACTTTTCAAGGATCGTTAAAAAATATTATATTTCGATGAAAACTACCTCCACGTCTCGGAATATTAAAGAATGTAGATCATTTAAAAATTTTATCTGCTCGGCGTCTTGGATGCACTCGAAGAATTCGAGGGATTTCGGAATGAAATTATTAAACATAATCTCTTACCAAAACAGAAACGTATTCGTAAAGGAATTTAATAATAAACATTGTTCAGCGATATAAACTTCTGTCACAGTTTCTCCAACAATCGCAACTGCTACGATGCTGCACGACTGTTGTATCTTGAGTCGCTGTTTAATATGAATTAATTATCGATGAAACTTTCGATGAAGCATGCGATCAACCGAGCAAGTTTCGTTGCCCCGTCGATATTTATTGCTTTCGGTCGCATTTCTTATTTCCTGAGCACCGAATCCCAGTCGTATATCAAGGACTACACTCTCGCAGGCAAACCCGCGAAATCCGGTGATAGTCGTGCCCGACATGGCCGCCGAAAGAAATAGGAAATAAGGTCGGTAGCCGGCTGGGGTGAGTTTCGCCGGATGCGATCGGGGGCGGATCCAGGGCGAGGGAGGACGCCGCGAAAGCAGCAATTTAATATCGCCTTCCCCGGCGGAATAAAAATACGGAGATAAATAGCCCGTAACTTCGGCACAGTGCAGCAGCTCCGTGTCTTCTTCGAGCACACGTACAACGGCGCGGCGCGGCGCGGCGTCACGCGCCGCCATGGATACGTGGATGTCGTTGGAAAACAGCTTTCGCAATGGTGAGTCGAAACTGATGGCCTGTGACAATGTCCCGCGCGCTTTCCCGAGAATATTTTTGCAAAATTCTCCGTCGATTGTCGCGAGTGCTCTGTCCTCTCTCTCTCTCTCTCTCTCTCTCTCTCTCTCTCTCTCTTTTTCTCTCTCTCTCTCTCTGTTCGCACTTTGGCCCCAGCTGGGAACGCGTCTGCAGAGAATAGAAGACACGGTTCTGCTTTTTGGCGACTCAGAGATCGATTTTACTTCGTTTTACCATTGTTTCGTCGGAATCGAAGATTGTTAACACTCTGCTGGTCGACTTGCTTAAACATTTTCCGTCGCTAATAACTGCGGATTTTATGCATTTACGGTAAACTTGGATGGCTGCAATTTAAAGTAGCAGATTCATTGAGAGAATTTAAGAACGTCGATGTTTTATTTTGAACCCGTTAAAATTATTGAACAAAGAAAGAACTTGCTATTCAGTTTATATTTTTTGTAATCGATGAAGTTTCGCGATAACTATCAGAGCAAATACGAGCGCATAATAAATCTGAAACGAGATTATCGACGCTGAAGAATGTTTAACCCTTTGCACTCGAGTGGTGACTCCGAGGCACCACGAAAATTGTTGCACCACGTTCCAAGATAATTTTTATAATAACAAAGCTTACGTATAAAGAATTGTTAAAAGTCTAACTGTTGTATGAGTCACGAGACTCGATTTCATGCGCATAAAATGCACTTTGTCATTCAAATGGAAATATCACAAGTCGGGAAAGTTAATTTAAATTTACAGTTAATATCGCTTCGAGTGCAAAGGGTTAAACCAGCTTAACTGTGTAGTTCGACAACAAAAACACTAAAATTTCGCCTCGATTTAAAAAGACTAAATAACATTCATATTTAATAGATTTTAATCACGAGCCTGGCACGATGCAATATCACAAGGGATGAAATGTACCGAAACCAGCACAGAATTCATTGCGCCCTATTTCACGGGAAAATCGAAGTTTGGGAGAAACATTTTTCCATTTCAATGCCATTGTAACTAGACAATGTACCATTCACTGACCATTCAATCGAACATGTTGGATTTCAAACGAAACTACCTCGCAGCCCCGGGTCAGGTTCGACCCGGCAGCAGGATGGAGCCTACGGGAAAATTCTGGAAAGCTCTCGAAAGCGTTTCCAAGGATCGAAAGGTCGGCGATCGAGTTACGGGTCCGTTAAAAAATATCTGCCGGATAAATCGGCGATGTGGGCCATTCCACGGTCTCGAGATTCGCTCCGCGATGCGAAAGAATCTCCATCGGATGGTCTGGCTGGTCGAACGGGGTCGCCGGGACCCGAGGTCCGGCCGTTGGCTCGACTAAATTGAAAATTTCACGCCTGACGGTACGTCCGTCGGTGATTCGACGGGATTTCATCGACAGATGCCGAGGATTTTGCATAACCTTTCGCTGCCGCGGATCCGAGCCAGCCGAGAAAATATTGGGGGTATCGTGCGGCCTCGTCCTGGAACGGCCGTGATATTTTTCCCGGACCCCGGCAAATCCGGTATACCGTTTTTGTTTTCAATTGAAACGGTCCCCACCCACGGCCCGCCCTTCTATCACCGTGAGGCAAAGCCTCTTTCGAGATGAGACCGGGCACAGCTCGAACCAAGGCGAACCGATCCACTTTATACGGAATCAAGGGATCGAACTGTTTTATTCCTGCCCTGTGCGTTTTTAATACGGTATAATTCGCCGTCGACTCTCCTCACTTATTCTTCGATCTTATTCAAAGATATTCGTTGTAACAGTCAGGGTGATATCTGCGATAGGTAACCGAAGGCTACCTGTAAGGGTTGATTTTGTAGATTCGGGGTTTTTCTCGCAAACGTTTGTGCAGACGCTTCGCAAAAATTTTTATATCTATCATATATCTAAAATATATTTTATATGCGTTATATATCTGATTTATATCTGTATTATATTAATATTAGTTTTAATATTGTATTGTAAAAAGTTGGTCTTCACCCGTATATACAGAATGATCCACTCGGTGGAATATTTCGCGAGGGATTAAAGTTATAAAAAACTTGTTCGTACAAAAGTTTTTTAGTATAGAAGGGTACGTTAGGTGATATAAATAATATTCCTACAGGTGTAGTGGTGGGGGAGATATTGAAGTCAAATTAATATTTTTAAGTAGGACCCTGTATTTTTTTATTCACGACATAACAGAGTTTGTTGAGATAAATACAATGACCTATAACGTGATATCATTCCATGTAGTAAAAATGAAATAAATGGAACGCACATACGGCAGATGAACAAAAGTCGCTAGCTGAACAGCACGTGACTGCATCGGCTAGCCGCTAGTGACTTGCGTTTATCTGCCGCATATACGTTTCATTTGTGTCATTTTTACCACATGGAATGATATCATTCGATGATATTCGTCTCAACAAACACTGTTATAATATGGATAAAAAAATATAGGACCACATTTAAAAATATTAATTTGACTTCAATATCTCCCTCACCACTACATTTGTAGAAATATTGTTTATATATTCTAACGTCTCCTTTTATACCAAACAACTTCTGCAGGAACATATTTTTGATAACTTTAATCCCTCGCGAAATCAACTTAATCCCTCCCCACCGAGTCCTGTTACGCGGTTCACCCTGTATAAATAAATTAAATTAAATGTATTCGTTGCAAGATTAGATGCGTTTAAGCTCCGCAAATGTCTCTGAGTCAACGCAACGAAATTTGTTCGGAACAAAGTTACTTTGTCCATTCTTGGACAAAATAATTGAAGGCATTGTTCGGTTTTATTTGATCATGCGATAAGACTAGTTTACAAAGTGTTGTGTTCGTTTTTGCAGTAGCTCGGCCGTTTGTTTCTAGCTTACCATGTCGACCTGATTGCAGGTGGGCGATTCGTGGTCACGTCCCAGGGCGACCTTCATATCAGAGCCGCCAGACAAGAGGATGCCAAGGCCACGTACTCGTGCTTGACTCTTCACGCATTAACCAGCGAAAGGAGGAGAAGCGAGCCCGCAACGTTGACAGTAACAGGCATGATCTAACATCTCTGATTTTCCGTGATCCTTCGGCCTCGAATACAAATCGACCTTGTCAACATATTCGCTCTCTACTTCAAGTTCACTTATCAGATATTTTATTCACTTATTAGCTCACCTATTGGTTCGATCTTATCTCTTTTTCTAGTCATATGAGATTTTTATATCTCGAATGATACATTTAAATCATCACTGATGAATGCTCCAGTTGTAAGTGCTATGTTACACAAAGCGTACTTTAATCTCGCGTTTTTAAAAAGTCATTACATGCAAACAGTGGATTTCACACAATAATGACAAAGACAGATAAAACACATAATTATAAACTCTGTAACACTAGATTTACGGAACCCGACAAAATTGTTTAATTTACGATTATTCATATCGTAAAGATACATTTACGAGTTATCTATTCAATTTATACGTTACTTACGGCAAATGTTACAATAACATCTATTGAAAATCCGAATAAACGTCTGTTTTTTGTGCTCCGTAAATCTAGTGTTAAAGAAGATACACCGTATCGTCGTATTATTTTCGACGCCGCACGATTATTAGCGGAAGGAATCTTCAGTTATATTTCGCACGAAGATCCCCGCAATCCAATTACGCGAAATTGATGTCAGCCTCACAGGCCGGCTAATGCGCAAACTTTAGAGGTTCACGCCATGGTTAATTTCGAATGCATAATATTTCGAACGAGGTCCTCCGTTCCACTCTCCTGCGTCGTTCAGCAAGGTCCAGGATTAGCAAGCGTGGGACAGAGAGCGTACATTTTTAACCCTCGCGCGTGAAATTTGCAGAGCCGAGCGGATCCATGGCGCCGAGACTGATGCAGGGGTCCCAGATCGCCATCTCTGCGGAAAGCGGCTCGGACGTTCACATCACTTGCTCTGCCCAAGGAAACCCGCCCCCGCAATTTACCTGGTATCGCGATGTTAACGGTTGGTTTAACTAGGGGATTGTTTACTGTCTAATCCGTGGCACACTGTAGATTCCATTATCCGACACGATCACGCGATATCGACATCTCCCGCTCATTGTTCTCGGAACACCGGTCCTATGACGTAATCATAATGCAACCGTTCGGGCTGCATCGTCGAAAGACGCTCTGACATTCACTTCGATCCCTCGTTATACCTCGTCGACGATTTTTCTACTTCGCTCGTTGCTCGCGTTGCACGGAAAATTTGCATTTATCGCTTCAGTTATCTTTATTCCACTCAGCAAAATCTTTCTGTTGGAGAATACTAAAAAGTGTTCTAGTTCTACGCTTTGAAGACGCTAATTTTCCCTTCTGCATATATATCGAGTAATTAACCCTCGGACGGCGGACTATTCTCACGGCTGCATTATTGACGATCTTTATGACAATTCTGAACTTTATTCAGATATCTTTTGAAACATATTTTTCAAGATATTTCTTGCAGACTTATCAGCCTTTCTATTCTGTGCCTAATTTAACAGCAATTTATTCTATTCGATTACCGAAAATTGAGTAATTAGGAAAACGATCTAAATACTCTGGGTCAAAATTGGCCCAACCACCACGTTGCGAGGGTTGATACTTCTTTCTTATAATTTCAATCGATCTGCGTCTGTGCAAAATCAATTTTAATTCGTCAATCGTAAAATTTGATCACAGATGTATACACTAAATTTCTCTTCCTATGAATTAATCAATTTAACGCGCGGCCGCAGATCGCCCCGCGTTTTATTAAATCTACGGAACAAAATATCTGTTTCGCCGCCAATCGAAGTACGAGAATGGCTCGCGCTACGCGTAGATAATATCGAATTCAGCGATCCCGTTACTACGATTATTCGATTACTATCCTCGAAATCGGATCGAAAAATAAAATATAACGGCGCGGCCCGTTGACGCGCTGTTCCAGCGAATATTGGTTGCGGGTGTAACGTACGCGGCTGTTGTTACAGGACACTCTATATCAGTGGAATCATTTGGCCAGCGGATCCAACTCTGGGGCGATTTGATGCAAATTCGTCGCGTGGACGCCCAGGACGCGGGAAAATACATTTGCCGAGCCAGCAATCAGTTCGGCGAGCAACGGGCGGAAACACACCTGTCGGTCACGTCGAAACTTAACGCGCGGATACAGCCTCGTGTTCAGGTACGTGTACAGAAACGTTTCCACCTTACGGAAACCCATCGTTACGTATCACAGCTCTGTGAGCCTATTCTCCATTTTCAATCCATCCCATTTCAATCACCGTAATAGCTGGTTACCGTAAGACATTGCTCTCAGAAGCCTTCCTTAATCAAACATTTTCTTTCTTAGTGTCATTTAGTCGGTCTATTAATATTAGTTTATTCATATTTATTCTATATTAGTCAATTTATTTAGTAGCACTAATATTTATTATATATTAGTCAATTTATTTATTAGCACTAATATTTATTCTATATTAGTCAATTTATTTAGTAGCACTAATATTTATTATATATTAGTTAATTTATTTATTAGCACTAATATTTATTTTATATTAGTCAATTTATTTATTAGCACTAATATTTATTTTATATTAGTCAATTTATTTATTAGCACTAATATTTATTATATATTAGTCAATTTATTTATTAGCACTAATATTTATTCTATATTAGTCAATTTATTTAGTAGCACTAATATTTATTATATATTAGTTAATTTATTTATTAGCACTAATATTTATTTTATATTAGTCAATTTATTTATTAGCACTAATATTTATTATATATTAGTTAATTTATTTATTAGCACTAATATTTATTTTATATTAGTCAATTTATTTATTAGCACTAATATTTATTTTATATTAGTCAATTTATTTATTAGCACTAATATTTATTCTATATTAGTCAATTTATTTATCAGTATTAATATTAGCCTTTGTCCTTTATTACAAAAAATGGATTTTTATCCGTATATACAGGGTGAGTAACAAATTAGTCCCCGCGATTTTTCAGCCCCTGACTGAAAAAAATGATTCCTATCGCGAAGATAATTAGTACTTAACCGATAAGAAATTGCAATTGTTTCAATTTAAGAACAAATTGATTTTCAATAAAAAGAACAAGGTCACTGTTACATTTTCAAATGAAAGTAAGTGATTTTAACTTCGTAGTATAGTAATTGACATCGAGACGAATTCAACGACCTGCTGCACAATGATCTTCAGATGACATCGAAGGAAAAATTGCCATGAATTGATTGTCACAGTATTTGATTTTACATAAATTTTTCTTTCGTTTTATCTATTAAGATTTAAGATTGAATAAATGAGCATTGTTAATGTTTGTTGTTACCTTACTTATACCTAGTTTCATTTAAAAATATAACGGTGACCTTGTTTCCATATCGAAAATCAATTTGTTTTTAAATTTAAACAACTGCCATTTCTTGTCGGTTGAATGCTAATTAACTTTGATACGAAGTATTTTCTTGTCAGACCATCGAAGTGGGCTGAAAAATCGTGCGAACAAATTTGTGACTCACCCTGCATAAAACGAATAAAATAAATAAACAAATTTAGAACAGACGAGTAGAGCATGAATAGGTACAACCGTCGATAGCGTTTCACGTAATTTTTCTCAGCATTCCCATCTTGACTTCTGACATGTAGAACCCCGATTATCCGAACCTCTGACAGCCGAGCAACATTTCGCGCGTAGACAGCTCCATCAAAGGCAATCCGTACAAAACGGTGGCTGCCGTAAAGCTGAGTCAGTGAAGACTGTATCCAGCACTGCAGCCAAACAACCGTTCCATTATCCAAACGTCCCCTTGGTTAGTTCAATCGTAACGGATGATACTCTGCGGCCTAGTTATCACATTATTATACCAGCGACAAGCTCGCAGTGCCCCGCATCGAAACGAGCTTATGTCGCAACCTAATGGAACACCGATTCATCAGAACCGCGCGTCGTTATCGCCAGACTTCGTTATCCTGATTGCATACCGTCAGGATCCCGGGAACAGACTCCGGCCGGCGGAACTTCTTTCTTCCCGCGATTCTCCGTTCGTTTCCACGATCGCACGAACAATCTTCTCCGGGAGGATCGCCTCTGCAATTCCGCGCCGGAAAATTGGAATAGATCGCGGACGTGCGCGCGGCCGCGTGTACCATGATCGAACGCGTCGAGGAGCAACAGACGCGGCTGACAGTGCACGGGGAGGAAGAAGAGCCGCGTAAATCGTGACACGGGCATTAACTTTCGAGCACGAATCGTTAACCGTTTCCCGGTTATTTACAGACCATCAATTCCGGCGAGTCCGCCACTATGAATTGCACAGTGGAGGGTTATCCGGTCGAGAGCGTCGAGTGGTTGCACGATGGTGTGCCGGTATTGACGCAGGACACGAGGATCAGATTGCTGCCTCCTCTGGTCCTCGTGATAGGCTCGGTCGGCCGGAAGGACAAGGGGATGTACCAGTGCCTCGTCAGAAGCGACAAGGAGAACGCTCAGGCCACCGCGGAATTGAAACTCGGAGGTATTCACGCAGATACTCACCTTATTACCACGGAGAACCCGCGAGCCATATTCGCGACTACTCACAGTGGTATGAAAGCCTGAAATCATGGCCAAAATCCTAAAAATCGAAGTTGTCGTTGAGGAGTTCTTGACTTAGGGATTGGCTAGTTTAATGATGCGTCCGTGCGGTGGGAAAAACGAAATGACCCATACTTTCATACCTGAATGACAATTGCACTTCGAATTTCAAGTTTGTCGGACAGTCATTACTCGCGAGCGTGACCGACAGTACGAAGTGGATAGTTTAAAGCGTGTATCTTTATATCTCCTGGCGATAAGTACAACATTTTGTGCCGCGAACATTTCACGAATTGTTAACTATTACGTTAGTAAATCGATAAATTGTAGATTCAAATTATAAGAGCAAATGGAATGCATTTACTGTAAAGTTATAGTCGAAACTTTTGCGGCCTATGAGGGCCTGCCTTCGAACTTACTGGAGCTATTGTTTATAGTTTCATCTAGCCGCACTTAAAAAATTGGCTGCATCGCGTTGCACTTTTTTCAGTTACAACCATTTTTGTGAGTCAACGTACGGGAAACCGTCTCGCGAGAGTATCTAAGACGGAATAACTTTCTAAAAATCGTGCCAAATTGCTTACATTGTTTTGAAATGTTAGAAAATACACTTTATTAGGCAATGTCGAAAATTATTTTAAAAAAAAATGAAATTTGCTAGATTGAAAAATGTTTCAATTTTTGGTTTTCTATTTTCAAGATCTCGTGCCAATACTGTTTAGGTAGGAAAGAAGCGTTCCTTATTATTAAAGAAAACTTGAATAGTTTAATAATTAATTAATAATTATTTATGTAATTTATAATAATCATAATAATTAATTAATAACCTAATAATAGTTTAATAACTTCAATAATTCATTAATAGATTCGCAATCAGCGACCACGAAAACCCTTACATACAAATTTTCAAATAAATCCGTCACTATTTCTTATTTTGACCATGATTTCGAGCTTTTATACCACTGTGCTACGCTACAAAGCAGCGAACGAGTTGAAAGTAGCGAAACATCTGTGTACACATCCCTCCAAAAGTGCTGGGACACCTACAGAAAGTTAAATCAATTTGAGAGACCGATAGGAAATTGTTGTAATGTCTTCAATTTATTTCGAAGTTGATCGAACTAAACTGTAATATTACATTCTAATAAAAATAATGTCAATTTTATAAAAGGAAGTTAAATTTTTTATTCGACAATATATCCACCGCGTTTTGTAATTACTTCTTCGACTAATTTCGACATCCGTTTTATCAGTCAGTCTATTATTTCTGATCCTATTCGCTTTCATGCATTTTGCAGTGTTCCACATATTTAAAAAGCACATCGTATGAAATGAACTCAGCATACATTTTGAACAAAATGCAATAAATAGATAAACTAATAGCTTAAGTGACAGATGCCTATAAAATTAATACTAAACATACAACATTACCTAAATTGAATGAAAAATTACAATTTATACTAAATCAACAGGTGTTCTAATACTTTTGGAGGGGGTAGGGGATGTATGTCACAGAATTACGTCTTCGTAGCGTATTCAACACCAGATGTTGTTAGTTGGGACGTTATCAGAATTCGCATACACGGGAGAGGTATTAAAACCTTTTTAAAAAATTTAATTTTTTTTAAATTTCGTCATATATTTTAAAGAACCCCTCTGTAAAATTCTAAAAATCGTCGTTCTATACTTATCATCAAAATCTTATTGTCAGGCTTGCAAACATTAATTGTTTTCTTAATTAAAACACAATTTAATTTTTTAGAAATTCATTAATATCTCTCCCGCACATGCCGTGTTAATGTCTTTGCCCCCTGTCCGTTTTTCCACTTCTTGGCACTGTGAACTCATAAATAAGAGAAAGCTGTCCGAACTTCCGAAGAAAACCACCCTCTTCTATTTCTTGAAACTATAGACTTGTAAGTGAAACAGAATTTGTCAACTTAAAGTGCACGACAGAATCGGACGAAGATCCTCGAACCTCTTACGCGACTGCGTCTAAAGAGCGTACGAGGAAAGAGAGAGCTCATCGCGCAAGAACGTTGAAACAGCTGTCACAAATTCCTGTTTAATTACGACAGATACTGTACCGGAGCTGCAGTACACGTTCATCGAGCAGGCCCTGCATCCAGGACCACCGGTGTCGTTGCGATGCTCGGCGACGGGATCACCGCCGCCATCGTTCACTTGGCTTCTGGACGGAGAACCTCTGAGCGAGATCGCTGCCGGACACAGGTGTGCATCTAGATCGCATCGATCAATAATCCGCTTCTTAACCGGAAACAATGTCCACGCAGGTACGCGATAGGCCAATACGTCGATCAGTCCGGCGACGTGATCAGTCATTTGAACATATCATCGGCCGGAGCTGAAGATGGCGGCCTGTACGCCTGCGTCGCGCAAAACACGCTCGCCACCGTCGAGCACAAAGCCAGATTGAACATCTACGGTAATTCCATTTCCGTCTAAGATATTTTTTACTGCGATAGCCTTTATTAGTATAGTGCTGCTAATGGTAACTCGTGTGTGATCGTAGAAGCTCATCAATCGTTGACTTAGGGTCGCAAAAATTGGATAAAATCGAAGCAATTTGGTCAGATGAAAAAGCAGTGTTTCCTGTGTTGACCTTTTCACTGCTGCAGACGTATATTTATAATATGTCCATTGTATCTATTATTACCTATTGTAATATATTAGGCTGTGTAATAAGTCCGTTCGCGGGCCTGGAAAAAGACAAGGAAAATTACACGAATTCAAAGCGGCAGTTCAGATGGATTTTGTGATATGTTCTCGTGGGGCTATTTCTATGCAATTTAGCTTAACTGAAAGCTCGATGCGTCTACTTTAAGACAGAGTAGATTAGATTGCAATAGAATGACAAAATCATTTTGAAATATTAAAAGGAATCGACCTCTGTGTCTGAATCAACCTTAAACCATTACAAGATTTAAAAGGAAAAGTTCAGATGGATTTTAAGATACGTTCTCGTGGAGCTATTTCGATGCAACTTAGCTTAAACGAAAGCTGAAAGTGTCTACTATTAAGCTGAAATTGTATAACAAGTTCGTTCGCGTCGCGACGACTGCACGATACTATGATTTCTTACAAGAAAACACGACCGGACCTGTTACACAACCGAATATTATATATTATAATTGATATAATATATATATTATAATTGATATTCTTTCGACCCTCTCGCATTGATGCACTCAACGTGGAAAGCGATCGTGTCTTCGAGCCTCTAACTTTCTAGGATTAATATCGTAAGGATCGTGAGTCGCATCTCGAGCAATCGCAATTACCGGCGCATAGATCGGATAAGTAATGATTCGGGAGGCGGCCACGGGGTCAACGGATTCCGTGGATCATTCAATATGGACGAGGCCGTATTAGAAGGCGCTTCACGTCGATTAATTATTTCAGGTCCACCGTATATCCGATCGATAGGGCCGGTCCGCGCGATAGCCGGTGTCGATACCACCATCGCCTGTCCCTACTCTGGCTATCCCATCACATCCGTCGACTGGTCTCGTGGCAGTGCCGAACTGCTTCTCGACATAAGACACCACCTTTACACCGAGGGCCACCTTACCATCGCCAACGTCGACCCCAACGACGCTGGCATATACACTTGCAAGGTGCGCGGACAGTCCGGGGAAACGGCGAGCAGGGACATCAGGCTAACAGTCAGCAGTGAGTAGCAATTATCAGTCGACCATAACAATTAGACTTCGGAACTTTATGCAAAATAAAAATTGTCGAAGTTAATTGCAAGAAATATAAGTTAGACGAGAAAGCCTTTCCTGTTTCAATAATTGCAATACCTTGAAAATAATGTAACAAATATCTTTAAATTCTCGTAACGACTTCGTAGTTTTATATTCGACCTACTCGAAAATGCATAAAATCCTCAGTCTGATAATAATACTTGTACCAATGTTCCGTTTATTTTAACCGCAAAAAATATTTTCCCCAAAATTGTCTACATCGTTCGCAAGTTCTCTGCAAGCTCTATCTCATGAAGATCTTTTAACCCTTTGCACTCGAAGCTATTTTAACTGTAAATATAAAATCATTTTTCTCACTTATAGTATTTTTATTTTATACGATAAAATGCATTTTATGCACATGAAATTGACTCTTGGCACTCGCGCAACAGTTACACTCTTAACAATTTTCTAAATCTAAACTTTGTTAACATAAAAATTATCTCAGAACGTGATGTAACAAATTCGATTGGTGCCCCTGAGTCACCACTCGAGTGCAAACTGTTAATCATTGCTGTGGAGTTCGCCTCGCCCGGACCCTCCGAGAAAATTAGTAAATTAGGGGCCTGTTTAAAAGAAATGTTTCTTGCCGCCCGCGTCCTCGAGTTTTCCAAGATACAAGTTATTCCTAGAGCCGGCGAGAAGCTAGAGTCCGTTATCAGGACTTTTTGTCGGAACGGAACGTCCGTTTCGTTGTAATCTATTTAGTACGTTGGCTACATTCGATGTAGCACTTCAACGTTGCAACAGCGCCGCGAGTGTACACAGCCGCGTTAAAAAGAAAGGAGGAACTTGTTTTTCGCCGCTCTCGGTCGACTGCGCCGCGAAGAAGTCAGGAAGTAAATTGCACACCCGGAAGTATTCGCGCGGCGTTACTTTTTAAGCTTCTTCTCATTTGTCAAGCCGTTTGGAGGAGGGAAAGAGCCGGGGAAACGAACGCGTGGCTGGATGAATATGCTTTTCGAATAGGTTTCCACGAGGATGACTACCTTCTGCCGTAAAACGCCCGAATATTCCCGTGAAATTCTCATTTGTCTCAGGTCCGCCGGTGATGAGTCCCTTCAATTTCCCGACGAACCTGCAGGAAGGTGGCAGGGCCCAGGTCACCTGCAGCGTTACTTCCGGCGACCTTCCCATCGACTTCTCCTGGCTCAAGGATGGCGAGAAGCTACCCTCTTCTTTACACGTACGTGCTTCGACCCTTTTCTGCGAACAAATTCTGTCGCGATGACCGCGGATTGCATTTTCGCTAAAGAAAAAGTTACTTCAAATGACCCCATTTCTCGGAAACGCCATAATTTTGGAACACCCTGTAGATTAGGTCGCGTCATAAATAACTTCCGATGCAGCTAGGTAGCATCTATTGTTCGTATCTACCCACTGTAAGTCTTTCTGCTTTCACTAAATAGATAAAGGTTCGAAATAAATGAAACAAAAAAAAGATAAAAAATGGACAAAATAAATGTCTGATAAAAAAAGCGGAAGTTATTTATGACTCGACCTAATAAAATGATGTACAGCTATGCTCTACGTGTTCCTGAATTCCACAAATTTCCGACCTTCGAAATTTGAGATTTTCTCGTGGCGGTTGCATCGATTTACATATATTGCGGAGACCAGAAAACTGCTTCGGCTTTGCAGATCGAGGAAAGCGTGGCGGAGTTCTTCAGCCTGCTGGTGTTCAACAAGCTCTCCTCGAGACACAGCGGCAAATACACCTGTGTGGCGATGAACAGCGCGGCCAAGGTGAACCACACGGCCGAACTACTGGTGAAGGTGCCGCCGCAATGGGTGTCGGAGCCGCAGGACGTCGCTATCCTCCTAGGCAACCCTTTGATCGTCTACTGCGAGGCGAAGGGGTTTCCGCCGCCGCAGGTCACGTGGCTGCGTGCCAGGGGTCGAACTTCCAATGACTATCAACCTCTGCTCGATGGATCCGATGGTAGGCTGGCCATACTGCCGAACGGATCGCTCTGGACCGCCTCCGCAGGACCTCAGGACGAAGGACACTATCTCTGCCGGGCCAACAATGGCATTGGATCAGGCCTTAGTAAAGTCATCTACGTGTCCGTTCATGGTACGCGGCCGTTTCCTTTTGTCATTCTGAACACTGTCTATTTAGAATCAGAAAGAGAGGTGTCTCGTGCTAGTGATCCTACTTTTAAAGATCTAGTATAGTGACGCACAAATGACTGCAAAACCGAGGACGATGAAAATGAACAATTAGTCTTCCGGATCATAAAAGAAATATTTCGTTGAAAAATTATAGCCTGAGTGAAATATTTTTCGTCAAGAAATTGAATACTGTTTATCAAGTATTATCAAGGAATGCTAAAGTTATAAAGTTATTAATAAACGAATGCTAAAAGTTAAATTTAATTTATCCTCGATAGTTACGAGAAAAATGGTGTCTATATATATTTATAAAATATAATTAATTATAAAATAATTATAAAATATAATTAAATATATATGTAATTTTTTAAATTTAATTTTTAGCATACGGGTTACTTATTGCATAAATGTATATATATACCTATAAATTGCCTATCTTCGCATATTTCTCTTCATTCCGGATGTCTGCGCTATGTTTTACTTCCTTCTTATCTTAATTCTGACCTGCATTCATTTTATTTTTGCGTCAATTTAATACAGTATGAAAGATGCTCCATTAAATATGCTACCATTATTGGAAAACAATATAAATATGTTTTCCAATAATTAAGATAAGAAGGAAGTAAAAAAATAGCGCCGAGATACGGAAGGAAGGGAAATATAGGAGGATAGGCTATTTGCGATACTATATCAATCAGTGAATTAGCCAGTTCAAACAGCGAAAGTTCGGGAAGCGGCGGCCGAAAACTTCGCAGCTTTCGCCGCTCGTTTACCAGTTCTGAAGGACTTCATCTCCGTTATATCTGCCCGAATCCTCCACTCGTCCCGTTGCTAATTGGCTCCTCCTTATTAATAGTTTTGAAGCATCCGCGGATATCACTGTCTTCCAAAGAAACTCGAGCCTGCCCCGGCGAGGCGAAAAAAAGGAACGGGATAACTGGGAATCGAGTCAGCCCGACGTCGTGGCCCGGGATTAAATTTCGTCTGGATATTAAAAACTGTCGCGCCCACTAGAAAATTAACGGACAGTCCTACGAGCTTCTCCTCTCTCTGTGTCTGGTTCCAGAGCCGGCGAGATTCGAGTTCCAGAGCAAAAACGTAACGATCCGTCGCGGCGAGTCCGTCAACCTCGACTGCACCGTCATCGGCGACAATCCGATCAATGTGCAGTGGATGCATAACAGCGACCGCTTAGATGCAAACAGCCATCGGCAGAGCATAAGGCAGATCAAAGCGGAGAATGGACTGAAATCCCAATTGTCTATAGGGAGCAGCGATCGACAGGACTCCGGGGTCTACAGGTGCACCGCTGAGAACGCTTATGGCAGGAGCGAACATCTGATTTATCTGGCGGTTCAAGGTATTCGAAAATGTTACTCCATTATTGGCCGAGTCTTTCTGACACCACACGAATGTTTCTAAACGAAAGACGTACTTCAATTTAGTATGATCGTTAACCCTTTAGCGGGCGTATGTGACATTATATGCGACCACGTGACATTATATGTAGGCTTGAATGTTTGACGTCCAATAAGGATTAATTGTTTTTAGGGAATATATTTAAACAGTTTCAACATTCATGGTAAAATATTTGAAAAATGAAGAAGTCTTGTTACTTTTCTTTGACCCCTGAGCTTCTCTCCTTTGTTAAAGAATCGTCCTATCAATGATCAATCGCTGAATATGCTGATACGTAGTTCGAATTAGCTCAGCTCTAACAAAAACTATTATGTGTCAAAGGGGCTTAACTCCACATGTTCCTCAGGATAGAAATTCAATCGTTTTTTAGTTCGCAATTTCCTTCGTATTTTTTCGGGACAGGAAAATGTCAACGAAGCACTACTTGTTGATTTAACGGACGTAAAAGATCTTTACACGACGTAAAAATTGTCCGAGTGAATTACGAAATGCAGCAATTGGACGTGGACGTATTTAAATGGTTTCGTTAAATTGAAAATATATTGCGAAATTCGCAATCTCTTTATGATGGAAATGTGGCCGGAAGCATTATCCGAGGATCTTTCGGTAACAATCTCGGAGGATCGCGGGGGATCAAAGCCAGAACGAACCATCGACGGAATATCGATTCGCGAGACGATCTCGTCCGCGTAAAGCATGCATCCAATTTCCACTAGTGGCGTTTTGTCCGATGGTTTCGAGTGTTTTCGAACCGCTCGAGTCCTCGATTGAAACTGTCTCCCCTCCCGAGCCCCGTTTCAAAACTATCGATACACGCGGTCTGACCGGCCCGTTATCTGACCGGGCCAAATGGGCGTTAACGAACACCGGTTTTCATTCGAATAAGATTACTCAACCTTTTCTGGATAAACTGATATTTCCATCGAACGTGACGCCGCTCGTCGAACGGCACGCTATATACATACACGTCGATGCCGATGTCTGATATACATATACATAGGATCCACTTTGTGCACGCAGAAAGGCCAGATCCACCGGCCTCGCTGGAAGTCATAGAAATCGGCTCGCGATCGATACGATTGCTGTGGAAAAGAGCCTTTGACGGAAACAGCCCGATACGGAATTACGTTATTCAGTATCAGTCCCTGAATCACGGTTTGACGGACGATTGGAACCCGGCGAAAACGCACAATGTCACCTACACACCGGGATCGACCGGCGCCGGGAACGCGATCCATCCGACCCAGAATGGTGCGTAACCGTACGTTTAATCCCCGGAGCGGGGGGCTTTGATCGCTCGGACATTCATGCGTTCCGTGAATTCGCTCGGAACACACATCTGTTTTACGCTACCTCGTTTGTTCTATGAAAATCGATCGACCCGCTCAAAACAGCGGGCCCAGAACCGGCGCTCGACAAATGTTTCGAGCCACTTCGCCGATCAATAGTCATTGAGCCTGCTGATCCGGGAAAAAACCTCGAGGCTGAGCAATTGATATGCAGCATCGAACGACGATTCATTTGCGAAGCACTATTCACAAAATTATAGTTTTTCTGTGTAACGAACAATCGTTCAGCCGTGCTGAATAAAGTATTGCTGACTATTCTCTTATTTTGCAGTTGAATCACGTTTACGCTTTCGAAGTTCTTTCATATTGATACGTAAAACAAAACCAGTGGTGATCGGATAACTATTTCTTTCAACTATTAATATAATTAATGGAATTCAGACTAAATGAATCTCTCTGTTCGAGCGAAATCCGAGTGAATTCAGTCTTGTCGTTCCTATGAAGCAATTGATCTGCAGTCGCGATCGCACTCGTTTGCGAGGCTCTTTTCAAAAAATTATAGTTTTTCTACGTAAAGAACGATTGTTCAAGTTCGATCTGCAAGATGATAATGGCAAACGAATTCTTTGTACTGCTCGTGCCGAATAAAGTACGACTATTCTCTTATTTTGCAGTTGAATCATGTTTACTTTTTTGAAATTTTTCCATGTTGATACTTGAAACAAAACCAGTGTTGATCCAGTAACAGTTTCTTTCAACTATTAATATAATTAATGAAATTCCGGATAAATAAATTTCTCTGGTCGAGCGAAATCCGAGTGAATTCAGTCTTGTCGTTTTTACGAAGCGACAGGTGGCTTTAGCGTTGATTGTCCCGCGTTCAGAGAAAAATGCTTGCTCTTAACAATTCGGTCTATCGGTTCGACAGACGATCAATTCAATTGTTCGTGTTCAAAGGCTTGTCTCCTTTCGAATCGGCCAGCGAGAATCAGGAAGTGGCTCTTGTCGGCGGTTTGCATCCCGCTGTGACTTATACGTTTCGCATATTCGCTATAAATTCGATCGACATCAGTTCGCCCACGGACGCCGTCGTGGCGAAGACCCAGGAAGAAGGTAAAACGAATTTCTGACTTTCCAGTCTTATCGAGAGTTTCCGGATGTATAAAAATTGAGACCTTTTTATGGCGCAGCACCGACCGAGCCGCCGCAAAATATCAACGTGCAGTCGGCTGGTGCCGGCGAACTTATGGTTAGCTGGCAGGTGAGAAATCTGATGAAATGACTATCGGGAAATATTATTCGAAGGATTTCTGCTTCGCTCTTCCCGCTACCATTTCAATTTTGTGGACGACTGGTCTTGCCTCCTCGACCAGTTTTCTCGCGAACGCAGAAAATCTGCAGTCTAATGATCACGGATTAAAGTATTTGTCCGTCCCGTAGCCACCCCCGAAGGAGTCCTGCAACGGGGATTTATTAGGCTACATAGTGACGTGGTCGGAGCATTCATCTTCAACGTCGGGCGTGAACCAAAGCAAAAGTTTAACCGTGAACGGATGGGCGACCGTCAAGGTGCAACTAACCGGCCTTAGGAAGTTCACCAAGTACGACGTATCGATCAGAGCTTTCAACAGTATAGCCAGTGGCCCGGCCAGTGTTCCCATTGTTGGGACCACTCAGGAAGGAGGTACGGCGCACGGCAATTGACTATTGTATTAGATCATTCGTGTCGCTTCACGTTATTCGAAATATTATGTGATCGTGCTTAAATTTATTTTTTTCCGACAAAGCGATGCTTTTTTACGAAGGATATACCTAATATAACTTATTCACTGTTTCAGTGCCGGAAACTCCACCGTCGCAAGTCGCCTGCATATCTCTGTCATCCCAAAGCGTGAAGGTCTCCTGGAGCGCTCCTCCGCCGCATCAACACGGCGGAATCATCCAGGGCTACAAAGTGTACTACCGACCAGTGCTCACTGACAACAGTGAGTGAAAATTAAGTCTGAATTCTATGCGATAACGTCGTCGCTTGGTCCCAAAATTGTGGTATTTCCGGGAAATGAGGGGTTCCTGAGATCATTTGGAGTAACTTTTTCCTTAGCGAAAATGCAATCCGCGGCTTTGTTTACGAGTTATTAGCGAAAAACAGTGGCCAACGAGAAGCGAGATCAGCCGGCGCGAGACGGCCGAGCCAATCAGCGGAACTGGTCTTCTACCGCTCGTTGACTCGGCCGCCTCGCGTCAGCTGAGCTCGCCTCTCATTGGTCAGTGTTTTTCGTTAATAACTCGTAAACAAAGCCGCGGATTGCATTTTCGCTAAGGTAAAAGTTACTTCAAATGACCTCAGGAATCGCCCATTTCCGGGTGTTAACATAATTATGGAATACTCTGTGTATGTTGTTTCTTTTGAGAGAGAGAGAGAGAGAGAGAGAGAGAGAGAGAGAGAGAAAGAGAAAGAGAGAAAGAGAGAGAGAAATAAATTACTTTATATTATGTTATAAT